TCCATTCAAAAGATTGCGCTACTCCATCTGTTGCATCGGCACAAACACTTGCTTCCTCATTTTTTGAATGTCGCAAATATAAACTTTGTTGGTGGTTAGTCCAGAAATGTACAGAAAATGGATTGTGGTCAATGCTATGAATCGAGTTTATCCAACTTGTAAATTTCATAATTTCTAAAGCGTTCCTAGGATCTTTATGTAAATGATGAGATTTTAACGCTTCTGTTTTGACTAGTCTTAAAACTGAAGCTTTAGGTAAATTACCTGGCTCTTTGTCTCCAGGTTTCATTAAACTTGTAACTTTTTCTGTTCTGTACAACTCTGCCCCCTTTCGTTGCAACTCTTGTGCGACTTCTTGCCTTACTGGAGCTTTTAAATATCGCTTTCTGCATTTACCGGTATTTTTACCTTTTGTATAATGGCAGTCAATTGCAGCAACTTTATTTACATAAGTAAAATTGTCAATGCGACAAATTAGCTTACTGCCACAGTTGCAGTAACCTGAAAATATAAATTAAATTGCTTTTATCTAGAGTTCAGTTTGTGATTTAAAAGAAATTAATAGTCATACATAAATTTAATACTTAATTTTTCAAATTATTAATTAACATATATTAATTATTTATATTAACTTTGAATTTTGAAAAACCGAATACATTAATTTTTTAGTGACTGGATCCATTTTAAATCAGTCAATTCGACTAACTTTTTTGAAAATTCTGAAAAATAAAATTTTTGAAATATTTCAATTCTATTGTTTAAAGATAATTGAATTTTTATAAACAAACAATTGAAAATTTATAAATTAATTAAAATTTTTTTACATTTTATTGATGATAATTGAATTCTTTTAAAGATTTTATTTAAATTTATTGAAAATAATCAAGTCCCTCTTAAAGTTTTAAATTAATTTATATCATTTTCATAAATAATAACATTTACAAAAAAAATTGTGGCCTCGGGGCCCACTAGTAGAAACGAAATTTGATTAACAGTGGGAAATACCAAATACCTTACAGCAATAATAAAATAACTCCTGATTCTCTTTCAAAACATTTATTAAGTTTTTCTAGTCGTAAGAAATATTTATAGAAGAATGTTGAGACTAGATAACAAGCTTAACCCTTAAACCGCACCCTGGGTGTGCGACACCCATATTCTAGCTTTTTACTCTAATATCTCGTTTAAAGTCGTAAAAATTGAACATGTGTCGCTATTGGACGACACATTTTGTACTTAACTTTATGTTCCGTGAGGGACATTAGTCTCCCAAGTGTCTTTGTGTATTTCTAACTTTATGAAGCTAACAGCGAAAAATTTCTGGGTGACTGATACACAGTTTTCGGTTTAAGGTGATTTCAGTAGTTTTAAAAAACATTTTTTTAATTTGGAGAACACACTTTAAAGACCCCGGATGTCACACACCCAGTGTGCGGTTTAAGGATGGATTCGGAAGTGTGCGGTTTAAGGGTTAACGTATATTTACTCAAAGTCATAAATAAAAATTTTAGTATAATTTATTATAACAATTTGACAATAGAATGATTACAATATATATTAAAGTAAAAATTTTATCTTTAGAATTTATTTAAACAAGATTTTTAGTTTTAAATATGTTCATATTAAATATCAATAAAAAGAAACTCGTCGAAAGAATTTAATAATTCATAAAAGCTATAATAAAAATTTGTGAAGAGATTTGTCAATTTATTTATGCTCGAAATCAAATAAATTAAAAGTTGATGAGAAAATTAACCGGGAAAATTATGATAAAGCCGGAAATTTTGTTTAACAAAAATAACAGACACCCTGAAAAATTCAAAATCAGAAATTAAAAAATTACGTGTCCTTACCTTCCATTTTTCCTCCGTTGCCATCTTTTGTAAGGTAATGACCTCTAAAATTAAAACCACAAACAATTTAAGCTAAACTATATATCTCTTCAGATATCCAGTCTTCCCATCTGACGGATTCTAATCGAAGGCATGTTCTAGTTTTCTCATATTTTTCTTGATTTTTAACTATTTTTTGCTTATATTCTTTTTCAACAAAAAGATTCTCAAAAGTTTTTTTATTAGCAAAATTTTTAAAAATATCGTCCTCGTCATTGGAATTAATTTCTTCTGAAAAGCTCGAATTATCAGTGATATTTGTATCTTTCTTGTCATCCTCATTTTGTGGCAGTCCTAATTTGCTACGTATATTTTTATTACACAATTTATTGTAACAAGTAATAGCAGACCACTTTCCGCCTAAATCGTCCGACAGATTTTGCCACACTTTATCTTTCTTGCTCATCAATTTTCCATTTTCTTTAAAAATCTTTCCCTTCCCTTTTAAAATGCACGGAATCCATTCACTTTCGCAAACGTTCGCTTGTCTTCCAACAGTGGAAGTCATGTTATTAAAAGAATATCATTCAATGTTAACAATAAAAGTTTACTGATCCCTTACGTCAACAATCAATTATCAATAAAACATAACCTACAAATCAAGACCAATAGCTGTATGAAAATGTTCGATAATGTCTCTGTGACGAACCGACTTCGTCACAATTTATCCCTTCGTGATATCAAAATACAATTATAATGTTTATAAGAAAGTATGAACAAAATACAAATACCTATATTAAAAATAATAATAAAACAAACATAATTCATCTATTCGTTATAATATTGGTTACAAGAATTAAAATAGAAGTTAAATACATAAAATATAATTCTCATTTATAGCTGTTTATTACATTTCACATTTTTATAAATTTACATTGAAAAAGATTAAGAATTTAACTTTAATTAAAAGGATGAGGCTTCAGATACCAATGTATTGTGAAACTTAAGGAGTAGTGTGTCTAGGTTAATGAACCATGATCACACCACTGCCTAAAACTGCAAGCTTGCAGAAAAGCGCCTGGCAACGAGCAGGTGCAATAAACTAAAGTATGATTTCACCACTGTAATGTCGATTAATAAAATCGATTGACACAGGGAAATCTGGGCATTTGCCCGTGTGTCTCGGCGTGACCAAGACGGAGAGTTAGGGCTATAGTGCCAGATAAAGTTATTGTACGAAGCCCTTGTTTGTTTAATTAAATTGAAGGTCTGAATAAGAGACCACAAGATAAAGATGAAGTAATAAAATAAGTGAATAAATAAATGGTTATAAAATAAAGTGACAAAAGTATGAAATGAAAAGTGAAATATTAATTAAAGTGCAAGCGCGTTAAAAAACAAAGGATATTAACTAAAGGAAATAAAACTAAAGGAAAATATATAAATATATATGACAAAGGTGAGCTAAGTTGTTTTACACACTAAAACACAATACATGCACATAAACACATTACGCATCAGAAAATAGATATTGTGTAGAATCACATACTTAAAAGAAGATAAAGATTGTAATCTTTAAGATAAAGTAAATAAGGGAAATTTAGATAATTGTATTAGTGTTTAGAAGTTATAATATATTCTCATTATTTTGTAAATTTGTTTAACTTTATTAGCATCTACACAACAATTCCAAAACCCTAAAATCCACTATTTCCAAACAGTAGAGATTCTCACCTCACTACTTGAACAATAAGTAGGAAGGAGGGGATCCACTACCAAACTTTAAAGGTTACAAGTTTTCTTGTGTAATATTTTACCTTTAATTTTATTGTTAATTAATTAAATTATTATTCATAATTTTAATACATTACAATTGGTGGCAGCGGTGGGATTACTCTCCTTTACTTTTGCAATAGTGGATTTTGGATTTTTAAAAGTTGTAGGTACACAAAAAAACAGAAGTTACACTTACACAACATTTTTTTTTACTTGAGAAAATTTGCTTTGATGCAATTTATATGAATGAAAATTATATTGTGACTAATACATTTAAAATTTTTTTCAGATAAAAGAAATATATTTAAAAAAACATATGCTTAGAGAAAGTGCGGGTAGTAGCTAAAGCAGTCCGCTAACGTCGGACTGTAGGGGACCAGTAATTACACTTATACCGACAAGTGTAATTTCTTTAATAAATCGCGCCTCTCCCCCGAATAACCTTGCCGAAAGTGTGTAGCCACTTGGGCAAGTGAGGGGTTTAAAATATCGAAAAATATCGCGTAAAATGGCAATTTAAAATAAAAATTAGCTTATTTGATTAAATAAAAATCTTTTATTTAAAAAAAAACATCTACCAATTCCTCAGAGGAAATTTTTTGTCTATACCTCAAATAAAAAAATCGAAAATATAAAGGACTAACTAAAAGAAAATCGCGAGTCAATTTTATTTAAAAAAAAAAATTATTAAGAAGAATTACTACTTTAACATAAGTAACATAAACTAAACAGGAAAAACTAATGCAACAGAATAAAAAAAAAGGAACATAAATCCGAGGAGCAAGACTAGGTTTGGAGCTCAAAGGAAATAAAAAAGGGCCTCCTTCTAAGAACATCAGTGAAGATAAAATAAAAGAATACTAGATGAATATCGTAGAAATTAGGTCACAGAATCATAAAAGTTGAGTTTCGAGTTTAAAATTAAAAAAAAAATAATTATCGAAAAATTGATACAAAATTATTTTGATTTATATTTATGAGTCATAAAAAATATATATAATATAAATAAAATATAGAGAGACAATGTATAAGATTAGATGGGTATACGAACGTGGTTACGCGACACCGAGTCAGATTACACCTCAGGTGACTAGGTCAGTAGGATGTATACATTGAAAGAAATGCAACAATTAAAATGACTCATACACTTTTAGGTAATTAAAGTAAATTAATAAAGTTTTCATTAATTCTTTCGTAATAAATTTCAAATCTGACAAATGGCAAAATATATTTTACGAAACAGATACATGACTTTTTAGGACATACTAAGGAACAATAAAATTGTAGAACAATGCCAGGACAGTTTATATTTAGAAATCTAAAATAATTTAAAATTAAAATATAATTTCAGGTTTAAAAAAAAAAGGTTTAAATAATTATATTGAAACAAAAATGTCTACACTGTATGAGCAATTGTTACTTGGAGGGCACATTGAAAGATGGAAAACAGAGGGATATAATTTTGAAATAATGGATCATCATCGTGTTAATAGAAATGAAAAAGATAGAAATAAATATCACGATGACAACTACTTAAGGCAAAATGAGAATAGAATGGAAGGAAATTGCTACAACCCATCGACTAACCAATATAACATGTATGAACCAAGGAACCAACGACAAAAATGGAATCAACAACAGAGACAACAATATAGTGAAAGAAGCAATAATTACAATGGATTTAACAATCGAAATGGAAATGAGAGTTTCAGAAAAAATGGACAAAACAGGGACATAGATTCGCAGGATTATGGAAGAGAAAACTGTTATAACTATGATCAGAATTTTGACGAGTACAATGTCGAGTACGGAAATTCACAACGCAGATTGAGAAACAGATACAAAAGATACAAGGATGTCCAGGATGGTTACAGTAGAGATGATCATAGAGACCACAGATATGACAACTGCGAAGAGTCTTATATCAGCTTTAATGAAATATTTTCTAATATTTATAATTCAATCCGTTTGCAGAACTCGCTCACAAACCAAACTCTTTTAGAGGACGAAAAACAACTAAAATATGGTGTTTCATCTTTCGCAAATGATCCACAGCTCGTAACAGAAAAAGAAGAATCAAGCAACAAGAAAGCTATTCAAAATGGAGAAAAGCCTCTAGAGGAAGAACAAACAGCAGTGTATATGAATCCTATAATAGATACTTTGGACGATAAAGAAGATATCAGCCTCAGTGAAGAATTTTCAAATAAGAAAATGGTGGACTCAACTAGAAGATTCAATTTGTCATTAGCGAAAAATCAAACTCATTTTTGTGACAGCAAAGTGTTCGCAGAAGAAGAAGGGAATAAAAAGGAATCCTTACAAAAGCCAAATTCGGAAAGAAGCAACAATATAAGCGAATCAGAAGAAATGAGTGAATTGAAGAATTATAGTTGTCATGATGACGAAATTTCACAGCAAGAAAATAATATTTCAAAATCTAAAATTAGTCAAGAACTAAACGAGACAAAACCGTATCAAGAAATAAGTGAAAGAACAATGGAAGAAGAAGAACGTCAAAAACATTTTTGCGATAAAATTTTACTCAAAACGAATGAGAAAGAGAAAATAAGAAATAAAACAAATATACATAACTTAAAAATGAAAGCAGACACTATAAACACAGAAATAAAGAAGAAGGTCATGTTATTAAACACCACAACTCAGCAAAAATTGTCTATTACGAAAATTCTGCCAACCACACGGGAAAATAATTTGGTGAAGTTAAAATCAAAAAGAAAACTTCGCACTTTAAAAATACGGACAATATTACGAAAATTAGTTAAAGAAAAAGGGGTTCATCTAATTAAAGCACAAGGGTTTAACCTCAAAGGAAATTCGAAACGCAAGTCAAATACGCCTCACCTTGAAGAAATCGAAAAATTGCATGACAAAACGTGGAGAAAATTCGTAACAAAAGTTAACTGGGAGAGTTTAGGAATAGGTTAAACATAGTCAAAATCAAGCGGGGGGAGTCATAGTAGTTTAAGCATGAAACATATTTAACAATTTTCTTGGGTAAAATATTAAACTTACTTATTCCTTACAAATCTCATACACTAATTGTAATATAAATTAATTGGGTTTGACATTTATTTTCTATTGTACTATACTGTACTATAATATACTATTTTATTCTCGCGTAGAGCAAAAAAAAAAGTAAAAATATTTTTAACAGTAAAAATAAAATGTTAAATAAAGACAAACAACTCTATGAAAATAATTTCGCTTACTAATTTAGTAAAAAAATAAGTTATTCAAAATACATTTAATAAAGATTCAAAAACTAACACATAAAAAAAACATGAGCCTAGTTAATGCTTTGAATATAAATAATAAACTTAAACTAATGGGATACGCTATAACAATAATAATTTAAAATTATCGTCATAAAAAAACCATTAAAATATCAAACTAATAAAAATTTTTTAACAAATTTCAAAAATGAAATCTTGAAAGTTCTCACATTTTTTTTTATTTAAAACTACAATTGTGTATAATTTTATTATTATTATTAACCAAATCAACTACATTGAAAAAAAACAAAAAGAATTTCATCAATAACAATATTATAATGATATAAAGAATATTATTCGTTGAAATGATTTTAAAAAAAATGTTTCATTGATGCTCTGATCAAATTACATAAAATTTTAAATTGAAATACGCTTCAAATTCTTCTAAGATCTGCGACTATTTTTTTAGTTCCTTAAACAAGATGCACTAAATAACATTAAAGGGAATGCTTTAAAGTTCGAGCATAAATGAAACTATTGTAACTCCACTAATACGAACATAGATTAACAGAGTTAACACTATTCAATTATAAATATGAATATAAATATACTTTTAAAAGATTAAAAAGAACAATTTTCTAAAAAAAAAGAAAAGAACTATTGATCTTAGAAAACGTAAACCTATTTTTATGTTTTTTTTGCTAAAAAAAACTATAAAAAAAACGTAAATCAATTCAAAAGAAATATAAAGGCAAATTTCCAACAAATTTTAAACATTGATTCCTAACTAAAAATGCAGTTTACTTTTTTAAACAGCATTTTTTTAAGGGAAAATCTAGAAAGAAACGTCATGCTTTACATTTTATTTACCTAAAAAAAGGAATAGAACTTAAAAATCGACTTATACTCATATTTAAAAAAAAGATAATTTATTCAATTTACACTATTTCTAAAATAAACTTACAAAGAAATTTTTAAAGAATGAAAATTTTTAATACAAAACACTACATTTAATTGCTCAAAATAAAATTTAAAAAAATTTAAAAAAAACATAAGAAACAATTTGGAAAATTTCCATTCTTAAAACTATTTGACCAGATTTTTTAATAATGAAATAAAAAGAATCAGAATCATACACTTTTCTATAAAAGAACCTAATAAAGAAACAGTGTTATATAATAATTAAACATTTTTTCTTTAAATTTTGTACGTCTTTTAAAAGAACTATAAAACATTCACAAAGACTAAATCTATAATGACTGAATCTACTTATTTTGATGACAAAAGTTTTATAGTTAAAAAGACATTTTTTTAAATCGAAATGTATTCTCGCTACCACGTATTTAAATAATTTAATGATATAAGAATACAAATAACATTTTATTACAATTCAAAACAAAATATTTTAAATAGAATTTTTTAAAGAAAAGTATGAAAATTCACAATATTCCAACCTATGAAAGTATTTTTTTGCGAAAATAAAAATTTTTATCTTATTATTGTGTAATGAAAATATTCTGCAACCTATGCAAAATTATTTTATAACGGCATTAAGAAAAATTGAAATGATAAATAAATTTGACAATCTTCGTTAAAAAAAAAGTTTATAATTATAAATTTGTAGCAAAAACAAGTTGTTATGATAAATTCAAATTTTGATACTATGAAATTATGTTTTTTCAAATCATTAAAAGTAAAAAAATATTTAATGTATTCTTCGTTTGAAATTAATAGCACCCTAAAATAATTGTATACTAAAATTAGCTATAGGTTTTGTAATTTACAATATACATTTAAAAATAAGGATCAATTAAAAAATACTTAAAATAATAAACGTTGTTACTCAAATTTTATAAAAAAAATGAAATGAAAATTTAGAAAAATTACATATCTTGAAATAAACGAATGCCTAGATTTGTAAAAATGCAATTAAAATATGAACCATTAAAATTCTGTTTATTTTAGTAATATAGTTAAAAAGATAAGTTCAAAAAAATAAAGCAGTTTTTTTACCACTCTAGACCTTAAAATACTTAAAAATGCGTCAAAATAAATACAAAAATAATATGCAAATCAACAAAAATATTAAAAATATAATTTTTCTATATAAACAATAAAATTAATCATGCTAAATACAAAAATAATTTGTTAACCATCGAAAACCAGTTCTGTTTTTGCTTCTAATGTAAACTAAACTTGAAACTATACTATAACATAAAACATTAAATTACCCCTATTGATATAAATCTTTAAAACGCGAAAAGATTTTACAAAAATTGTAAAGAAAAGAAAAGAACAAAAGCATTTAGAAATGGCTGCCAAGGGACGTCAGCCTAATTAAAAGGGGGGCATGACAACAGAATTGTCGTCACAATTTTTTTCTTCTCTTTTCGAAAATAATAAAAAAAAATTTCATTATGACAATCACATGCAATACAATGTAGTCATGGTTACGTTAACACATATGATACAAATGAAAGACGTCAGCGAATAAAGTCAAAATCGACAAAATGCTTTTAAAATGATATAACTAAACTAAAGACACAATAACCTACATAAATATCTTTACCAACAAAAAAATTTAGCTAAAAACACTTTAAACAACGAACTTAGGAATTCTTTATGTGAAATTCTTTTTTTAACATGTTCTATAAATGAGAACGTATTTAATTTTGTTAACTTACTTTTGATAAAAGTTTAACTTAATTATTCTCTAAGATCAATTTTTGTAAAAAAAACCATGTTAAATGGCATGTTAAATCGCATTTCATTTTGGACATGTTTTATAAATGAAAATATATTAAATTTTGTAAGGCTAGTTTTTTAGAAAGATTAATTTAATCACTATCCAAGCTAAAATTGTTGTAAAGAATGATAACCAGGATACGATTTTTTGTAAAACTCAAACGAGTTATATCTACAAATTTCAAGAGGATCTTCAAAAATGCTTTTCCGCAGCTGACAAGGGACGTCAGCCTATTAAAAGGGGGGCATTTGTGACGAACCGACTTTGTCACAATTTATCCCTTCGTGATATCAAAATACAATTGTAATGTTTATAAGAAAGTATGAACAAAATACAAATACCTATATTAAAAATAATAATAAAACAAACATAATTCATCTATTCGTTATAATATTGGTTACAAGAATTAAAATAGAAGTTAAATACATAAAATATAATTCTCAGTTATAGCTGTTTATTACATTTCACATTTTTATAAATTTACATTGAAAAAGATTAAGAATTTAACTTTAATTAAAAGGATGAGGCTTCAGATACCAATGTATTGTGAAACTTAAGGAGTAGTGTGTCTAGGTTAATGAACCATGATCACACCACTGCCTAAAACTGCAAGCTTGCAGAAAAGCGCCTGGCAACGAGCAGGTGCAATAAACTAAAGTATGATTTCACCACTGTAATGTCGATTAATAAAATCGATTGACACAGGGAAATCTGGGCATTTGCCCGTGTGTCTCGGCGTGACCAAGACGGAGAGTTAGGGCTATAGTGCCAGATAAAGTTATTGTACGAAGCCCTTGTTTGTTTAATTAAATTGAAGGTCTGAATAAGAGACCACAAGATAAAGATGAAGTAATAAAATAAGTGAATAAATAAATGGTTATAAAATAAAGTGACAAAAGTATGAAATGAAAAGTGAAATATTAATTAAAGTGCAAGCGCGTTAAAAAACAAAGGATATTAACTAAAGGAAATAAAACTAAAGGAAAATATATAAATATATATGACAAAGGTGAGCTAAGTTGTTTTACACACTAAAACACAATACATGCACATAAACACATTACGCATCAGAAAATAGATATTGTGTAGAATCACATACTTAAAAGAAGATAAAGATTGTAATCTTTAAGATAAAGTAAATAAGGGAAATTCAGATAATTGTATTAGTGTTTAGAAGTTATAATATATTCTCATTATTTTGTAAATTTGTTTAACTTTATTAGCATCTACACAACAATTCCAAAACCCTAAAATCCACTATTTCCAAACAGTAGAGATTCTCACCTCACTACTTGAACAATAAGTAGGAAGGAGGGGAACCACTACCAAACTTTAAAGGTTACAAGTTTTCTTGTGTAATATTTTACCTTTAATTTTATTGTTAATTAATTAAATTATTATTCATAATTTTAATACATTACAGTCTCCATAGGTGGCGCAAGACTATTTCCGTTACCAAAAACTGTATTTATTTATTCATTTGAGAAATTAGTATATATATTATAAAAAGAAATTATAATTATATAAATTAACGACTAACAAAAAAATTTGTTTTCTTAACACCTCGATAGAAAATACGTACTTCTCTCTTTGATTTTACAGCAGAAAGTCGAACATTGGAGCTTTTGTTGATCTACACACACGCCATCTGTTAGATACAGCGTGAGTAAAAAAATTCTTTGTTTTTAAAATCACAACTGTCGGTAAATAAGAAAATCGTGAATTCCATGAAAATTAATCGAATAATATTTAATAATATATAAAATGAGAAAAAAATTAACAAGAAATTTTTTTATATACGTTATAAATTTATTATCCACAATCTTTAAACATTCAAATAAACGAAACTTTTTACTGACATAATTATTTTCAAAAATTATTTCAATAAATCATTAAAACTAAAATAAAATAATTAAATATTTTATAATTTATTTTTTAATACGTGCGACAATGTTAAAATAGAATTT